GGACCAGGACGGTACAAGGGAAGGTATCAGCCAATGGAGTAAGTGGGAGCTGGAATCCATCCTGTGCTTCACTCTTCAAACCTTGTGTCCTTCCATGAAGCTCTATCACCCAGAGCAAGGGGTCTCTCTTGATCTGATTTCTACACAGAAACCATTAGGCCAGTGGCCCCATCTGGATCCTCATATATGTTAAGAAACCCAGTGTTGAAATATTTTTTTTCCCCTCTCTCTCTTTCTCTGCCTTTCTTCCTACAGTTTCTCAGGAACCTGACCCATTTCACTATGGTGAGTGGCAGATTCTGTGATAAGAGCACCTGGGGATGGATGATGGCGGCTGCTGATCCCCATGGGTCACTGCTGAAGTGACTTCAGTTGTGGCTGATATGTGCTGGGCTACTAGCCATGGGACCATGTGGGTACAGCTCACAACAGCTGGGCTTATGGGTGCAGAATCAAATTGGGGTACCTTCTCTGGGTTCCTCCAGGCTTCACCAGGACTCAGGGCTGGTGCATTAGGGTCACCAGAGTAGCAAACAAGTCTGAGGCCAGGTTGCCTGGATTTGAATCCTGGCTTAGCCACTCACTAGCCATGTTGCCTTGAGCAAGCAACTTTGCCTTTCTGAACCCTTCCGTAAAAAAGGGAAAGTAATAGTTCCCACCTATAAGAATTGTGAGAAAGATTTACTTGGATGATGCCATTAAATCATTCCTTCCCACAACATGGAAGCTCAAAGAAGCTACCTCCAGGTCTAGCAGACCCGCTCCCTATTCCCTCTCCCAACAGCCCGCCTGCCCTCGGCCTTGGCTCACTTACACTGTTCCTCCCACAGCCGAGTGCTTTCCCACTGCAGGGTCTTTGCCCTGGCTCTTCCTCTGACAGAAACAGTCCTCCTCTAGCTGGTCACACTGCTGGCGAAGGCTCCTCTTCCTTCTTCAGGCCTCAGTCAATACTGATTGCTCTGCTAGGAGAGGCCCTCCCTAGTCCCAGGCAAGAGGAGCCACACCTACACATGGTCACATGAGTCAATTTTTGGTTTTGTTTTGCTTAGTGCTTTATTACAATAATAAAGTCAACTCCCTGAGGACAGAGGCCTGGACCACTGCTGATATAGAGTGGGTGCCCTATAAATTAATATTTCAAAAAATATTTACTGTGGTATAATTAGACAAGAATAATTCTTATGTAGGAAAATAATGGAAAGAACTAGATTAAAGTGCTGAGAAGAGGATGGGAAATTCTAAATAGGACAGCCCGAAAAGGTTTGACTGACATTGGAATAAAGCCCAGAAGTTGGTATGGGGGGGGAGATTTGGGGGAAGATCTTTCCGGTAGAGAAACAGCAAGTACATAGACCCTGAGGTAGGACCATGCTCGATATGCCCCAGGAAGAGCAGGGAAACTAGTGTGCCTGGGGTTAGCGGGCTGAGGGGAAGTGGAGTGGGGTGAAGTCTGCGAAGGAACAGAGACCAGATCGTACAGGGCCCTGTGGACTGTGATGAGGACTGGCTTTTACTTGGAGTACAATAAAAATGAGGAGGGGAGGGGGCAGCTCTGAGGGGAGGAGGACCCTGATCTGACTCAGGTGCTAACAAGATCCCTGTGGCTGGGGGAGGAGACCACAGAGAAGGTGGCTTGCTGCAGTAGTCCAGAAGAGTGACAATGGTGGACAGGACCAGGGAGGAGGCAGTAGAAGGAGGGCCAGAGGAGGGGGTAAGGGAAGAGAGGACAAGGGGAGCTATGTCATCTTCACCCACTGGAGGAGCCTCCAGCACAGCCTGCAGCATCCCTGAATTTTGGGACTCTAGCTGAGCAATCTGAAGACAGGTGGGGGTGGGGGTGGGGGGTGCTGAGGTGCCACCTTACCTTGATGTCACCCTTTATCTTCCCCAGACTATGACACTGTGCAGACCGTGGGCATGACTCTCGCCACCATATTGTTCCTGCTGGGCATCCTCATCATCATCAGTAAGTGTGTCCCTCTCCTGGAATCTAAAACCCTTAAAGAGGGCCACCTCCGGCCAGGCCCCAGGCACAGAGTTCCCCTGCTGGCTCTCGACCAGACCCTTATGTCCTGTCTCCTTGTTCTGTCTATCTCTCTCCTAACAGGCAAGAAGGTGAAGTGCAGGAAGGCGGACTCCAGGTCTGAGAGGTCTGGCAGCATTGGGGAGAGCGGGGAGAGGGGTGGGAACAGAAGGGCCCAGGGCTAGACTGTGTTCCACATAAACCTGTGGCTATTGAGCCTTTAAAAAAAAATCAATTAGACATTACATAACTTACTAAGTGATCATCCCAATAAATCTCAAATCCTATGCTTTTCTTTCTTATCTTTGCTTCCACAGCCCAACATGCAAGTCCTGTAAGTCGGAGCTTCCCTCCTCAGGTGAGGGTGAGAAAGTGTGTGGTTCTGGGAGGAGGACAGGTGGGAGCAGAAAAGGGAGTCATTAAAAGGGGAGTTGCACTGTATGTCCCTAAGAATGGGGCCACCAACCCAATGGGTGGACATGAGAGATTCAGTAGGAGCTGAGATCCTGCAGCTCAAAATGTTAAACCCTGGGTCGTCAGTGGGATGTCAAATGTCCTAGTGTCCACTAAGCCTCCAGACACAAGGACACAAGCAAGGACGCACTAATTCTGGCCCCCCGCCCCAGTAGAAAGCCAGAAGCCTGGGAAGAGAGGGGGCCCACATGGGAAAGGACTTTCGCAGTCAGAATAAGACAGAGTTGAGTCCTAGAGAAGCAGAAAGCAGATGTTTTCCAGACTTAATTGTTCAATTTGGAAGATCTAGAATGAAATGCAGGCGAGAAGAGAAGGAACTGAGGGAGAAAGGGGTGAAGGAAGGAAGGGCTTTTGAATAATAGTATCAAAATAACAAAAGTAGAGAGGTATGGAATGCAGATTTTTAAAAACTGATGTAAGTAGCATGAAACAATGGAAAGGGATAAAGAGCAGAGGGGACTGGGGGTGTGGGGGGTACAGGAGAGGGTGGGGATGAGGGGGATGGAGGTGGGGGAAGGTGGAATATAGGAGGGATGGGTGCAGAGGGGAGTAGGAAGAGTGGGGGTACTGCAGGGGGAGAGTGGGTGCAGGTGGATGGAAGGTGTAAAGGGAGATGGAGAGAGATGTAGGCCGTGGAGAGGGATAAGCATGTAGAGAAAGATTGTGACTCCCTGGGAGTGTTAATTTTAATTATGTAAAAATAACTTGACCTGTTTTTACTGGACCTGCGTCCTCTCCAGGGATATTTAGAAGAATCAGATGGGAAACTCTCTACCTCTTATAAAGTTCTTGTAACTAAAACGTGGGCTTTGGGGTACTCAACATTTGGGGGGATTTGGTGGCAGATTTCATGTGTTTCATGAGACTTTCTTTTTTTTAAAATCTATTTTATTGATTTTTTACAGAGAGGGAGAGAGATAGTTAGAAACATCGATGAGAGAGAAACATCGATCAGCTGCCTTCTGCACATCTCCTACTGGGGATGTGCCCGCAACCCAGGTACATGCCCTTGACCAGAATCAAACCTGGGACCTTTCAGTCCGCAGGCCGACGCTCTATCCACTGAGCCAAACCGGTTTTGGCGAGACTTTCTTTTAATGCAACTTAAAAGCATTAAGGGGGACACTCTGTGGATGACTTGTGGTGGGGGGGGGGGCTGATGCCTGGGGCCGTTCTAAGGGCATGTGCAGGATTCTGACCCACTCCAGTGGAGTGCCGGTCCCATGTGGTGGGAGCAGGAGAGCTCCGGCTGTGCCCCAATGTCCGGAGGCCGGGTGTGGGGAGGGGGAGGCCCGAGGCGGAGACTCCCTTTCTGACAGGGGGAAGCCCCCAGAAGCCCAAGGTGGGCCAGGGAGTCTCCTCACAGGTTGTTCCCCTCTGACAGAGTCCTACAGGGCAGGACAGAGACACACAGGGGTCCCTGTATGGCCCACACCTCAGGGAGCGGGAGGCAAGACAGCTCCCCGGTGCTGTCTCAAGACTGTCAGTTCGTGGGGGTCTGGATTCCATGTGGGGGTGAGGGCTCACTGGCTCTGGGGAGGGAATGCTCTAGTCACTGACCTAAACTGTCTCTCTCCCTCTCTCTCCAGCCCCAGGAGGTGGCGGTGTGTAAAGCCAGCCTCGGCACCTCCACTGCTGTCCCTGCCTGAGTGTGGGAGCCCGAGGACCGGGTGGAGGTGGTGGGGAACCCAGCTTTGCGCTGCTGGGAGCGCCCCCGGAATGAGCCGCCCCACCCACCCCGAGGCTGGAGCCGCTGCACCCTGCTGCCCCTTCCAAGGCCTTGGCAATGACGATCCCCCAAAGAGCCTATCTGCATCCCAGATACAGGGACTCGGGTCTCCAGCTCTTGGAGTCCGAGAGCCCACCCCCTGTCCCTCCGAGTTCCCGGGTACTGCCCCCCTGAACCTCCTCGTCTCCTCCCCAAAGATTCGTTCTCCTGCACCCTCGGTGTCTGTGTCTTGAGCTTAATAAATGTGCATTTGGTTTTTCCCCTGTTCTGTCTGTGTGCTCTCATCTGTGGGGACCAAATGGGGGAGGAGCAAAACTGAAGCTGGGGAGCTCTCGCCCAAGTCCCCAAGTGGTCCCTCCTTCTTCCTCTTCCCCAGCGGCCTCCTCCTCTTTCCAGGATTCCCTTCCTCTCCCTCAACTCCTTCTGGGCTGTGCCCTTTCCGTCTCCTCCTCTAGAGACCCCAATAGACGCCCCACTTCTCGCCAGCCCCCTCCCCAAAAGAATCCCACCCATCCAAGACCTCCTAGCCCCAGGCCCGGCGGGTGGAGGTCCCTGCCTGGCTTCTCACCCATCTCCCCCTTCCCATCACCCGTAGCGTCTCCCCGCTGCAGCTCTCACCCCAGGCTCTAAAGCCAGGAAACCCAAGAGGAAATGACTGAGCCCGTCTGGGTCC